TTTAAAGACTGTACTACAGTAAATAAATGTTTGCTTAATATTTGTTTGATCCAAAGTTACCAAATGTGAAGGATTGCCAAATGTAAGGAAGCCTTTTTTTTCTTTTCCTTTTTCTTTCTTTTTTCAATCTACTAACATAGAACTGATATTGGGAAGAACATACCCCAAATCAGGGGTAGGACCTTGAACCAGTTCAGGTTCAGTCACTTTTGTCACCGCAAGAGTGGTTTCACCTTTGTGTCCAGCTCTGACAAGTGCATTTCAGTCCTGTGATTTCTTGAGGCTGGAGATCTGCTTTGCTCTTTCAAGTCTCCTTTCCATGGACATTATCCTGCTTCTCATAATTGCTGTCCTGCCCATTTCATTGCCTTCCTGCCTGCCACCCTGCCCTTGGCCTCCTCTCCACGAGGCCTGTTTGTTATGAGTTCCCTTAGTGTACCCTCTAAGAAAATGCACAGTTAGGTTAGCGTTGCACATGGCCATAGGTCTCAGATGCCGTGGAGTGAGTACCAGTCCATCAGTGAGTCTGTCTTCCACCACTGGCCCTCCACCAGTGGTGTAATTCCAGCATGCTGCTTTCCAAAGGCAGCACTCAACCATACATACTGTGTTCTCTTGGAAAAGTCACTGAATCAGTGAAGTTAGGAGGGAGGGATATTTTGCAGAGAGAGACACAATCATTGCACTAAGTAGTTTTACGTAGTTACCCTATTTCCCAACATCCCCTGAGAGAAGAAGATCCCCTCTTATTTCCACTGTGCAATTAAGGTAAAAATGGAGTAGAAAGGCCTGGAAGCAGCGACCCAGGCTCCTGACAGATGAGCTAGTGCTCTTTCCACTCCAACATCCTGCTCCTACCACCTTCTACTTGACGGCAGCATACCCTAATTGCAGGAAACCACTTGGAGAAGCAGGGAAATAGTGTCTCGTAATTCAGATTCGAAAATCTATACATAATATGGTCACCTACTCTCTGTTGAGGTGTAACAGTGCATCAGAAACTGTCTTAATAGGAGGATCCCCTGCCAATCAACACTCCCCACCACTCAGCCTCCACCCCCCCAAAAAAAGAAACCCACCCCTGCTGCTTCTGCCTCAGTACCATGGTGGTGATTGAAATAACCATGAATCTGGTAAACTACGAATGAGATTTGTTCATTTCCAGCACTACTGCCTTATCTGAAATATTCCCCAATGCCATTCCTTCCTTCTATAGTCTACATCAGGAAGGTGGGGAAGGGAGGAGCAGAAAAGAAAGGATGGACTTCCCACTTGGACTGCCAGAGTCAAGTGCCTGGAATTTCCCAAAGGCCCTGAGGCTGAGCAGTGGATGCGGAATAGGCCTTTTATTTAGGTCTTTTCAAGCATTGTCCTTCATCAGGCCTGGCATCAGTCCGCATCGATGAGAAGGACACACACCACAGTAAAAGCTACGGTTCCTCGAACCTCTGGTCCAAACCACAACACCTGCATACTTAGTGTTCTTGCCACCAATCCTCCCAGAGTGATCCTTTTATTTTTTTAATTTTTTATTTTTTTAATTTTTATTTATTTATGATAGTCACAGAGAGAGAGAGAGAGAGGCAGAGACACAGGCAGAGGGAGAAGCGGGCTCCATGCACCGGGAGCCCGACGTGAGATTTGATCCCGGGTCTACAGGATCGCGCCCTGGGCCAAAGGCAGGCGCCAAACCGCTGCGCCACCCAGGGATCCCCCAGAGTGATCCTTTTAAAGTACTGACTTAACTTCATCCCTTCCTCTTCAATGCCTGTGCCCTTTTTTTAACTGCCATTTTTATTATGTGCATTTATATTAATTGGTATGGACTGACTTATGTAATAAGTCATTAAAAAAAGCAGTTACAGGGGCACCTGGGTGGCTCAGCTGGTGAAGCGTCTGCCTTCAGCCCAGGTCATGGTCTCAGGGTCCTGGGATCGAGTCCCTCGTCAGGCTCCCTGCTGAGCAGGGAGCCTGCTTCTCCCTCTGCCCCTGCCCCTGCTCGTGCCTGGTTCAGACCTTCACCATGACCCACCCCCACCCCGACCCCCCAGCGCTCCAGCTAGAAGAACACAGAAGACTTTGCATGGCTGTTCTTCTCTCGTAGGGGCGTTTATGCTCAGGATTGCTCTATGCGCCATCCCTGAACAACATCCACACCCTAAGTAAGGCAGATGGGGTCGGGGCAGGAGGGCTAACTTAGCTGCCTGTTCATTCAGATGCAAGGACTAATAGGTATTCAGAAAGAAGGAATGAGGGAATGAGCAGAGGAATAAATTCCCTTGGAGACCGCTCACAGTGAGGGCTCGCAGTGAACACCTTTCCATGCCAAAGGACTGGTGCAGGGATAACAAAAATATGTATGGGCTGCCATTTTTTTTAATTTATTTTTTAAAGTAATCTCTATACCCAGCGTGGGACTTGAACCCACAAACCCGAAATCAAGAGTTGCGTGCTCCACCAATTGAGCCAGCCAGCCACCCCTCTCTTTTTTATTTTTATTTTTTATCTATAAAAGAAAAAAGTTGATTGAGCTCCAAGGGAAAGATTTAACAATCAACTTTGGTTGACTAAAAAGTATTGATGAAGAAAACTGGCCTGCAGTCTCATCACTAAAATGGTATATATTTCAGGGGGATCCCTGGGTGGCACAGCGGTTTGGCGCCTGCCTTTGGCCCAGGGCGCGATCCTGGAGACCCGGGATCGAATCCCATGTCGGGCTCCCGGTGCATGGAGCCTGCTTCTCCCTCTGCCTGTGTCTCTGCCTCTCTCTCTCTCTCTCTCTGTGTGACTATCATAAATAAAAAAATTAAAAAAAAGATTTAAAATGGTATATATTTCAAACATAGCAATAGGAAGGCAAACTTCTTTATTTTCACCTTAAATTATGTTGATACTCGGCAGCCCCATGAGGTCTATGAGCCAGGGGTGCTCATCACTGGCACAACCTCAGAACCTGAGTCTGGAGACAAACTGCCTGAGAGGCTGGGCCCTAGGAAGCTCTAGAAATGAGAATATCGGGATTCTCCTCTGGCCTTGGACAATCTGAGGCCTTGTTTCAGCTGAGATCTTCCTATGCTAACAGCAGATTCCTATGAGTCCTAGGACTCTGTTACTTGTCTTCTCTCATCAACCAGCCTCCCTTGAGATAAAGTACTATGTCTTACACTCTTTCTGTCCTCTTCTGAAACAGGCCCCACACGATGCCTTCTGTGAGTCATCAGGAAATTCCTGTTTATGATGAGAGTGATGAAGAAATAGCTTGAGAGAAAGTGACTTCACCCATGTTCATTGAATTTTTATTTTCTTTAAAATAGCACACCTATTAGTAGAAGTCATGCTCAAGGCATGTTCTGTGTTGCACACCCCTAGAACCCAGGGTTCCTGTTCCCTTCCCTCACTCACCCTGCTGGAGTCTGTTGACAGCCTCACCTGCTGCAGGTGTGGCCCCAAACGTAGGCATGTGCCTGCTTGTGCTTGACTCACAAAGACATCGTTTATGCAAAATATACCTTCAAGGATTTCTCCTATCAACCTAAAGCCGTGGCCCACATTTTTATCATTTCTTAATTTTTTGCACTAAGTGGGTAAGGACCTAGTTACTAGGGAAGAAAAATACATTGTTGTTGTTTAAATCATCTAATGACATCTTAGTTCTGATTGGTTTGTCTAGCAGGCCCCCCATTGCTCTGAAATCCCACAGCATTTGGGATATACCTTTTGTCATTGCTCCCACCATGTGTATTGGAACCATCTCTTTTCCTGTTTGTCCTCCGGGCTCTCTGGAGCAGCTGGTATGACGTCAGTGTGGCACACGGTAGGCCCTCAAAAATATTCTTGAACCAAACATAAGCATTCCTTAGGCAAGCCCCGAGGAGTTTCAGGAAACAAGAGCCTAAAAACGTGAGTCAAGGAACGTGTTACTTGCAGTGAGGACCTATCTCATCAAATGCACCACTTGATTGGCTTTTGCAAGGGGTGAGTGGCCCAGCAAAGACAGCCTTGCTTCTGCCACAATTTTGTTAACCTTGACCAGTGGCTTACCTTTGAAGATGGGTACACTCTGTTCCTACTACGATGAAGAGAATTTTCCTCAGTGATGAAAAGGAGGTAAGGGACAGACCCACCGCCGACCTCACCTTCTAGTGTCTCCCATACCAAAGAGCCTCAGCTTGCTTCCTGGGGCTAGGGGTTGCATCATACATTATTTCTTGCGTTCTTCAGAGTCTAACCCAGAGCCTGACACATAGTAGGAACTGAAACAGAGTAGTTAACAGTGATACTGTGCTTACCACAGGCCGACACAGTCCTCTGGGCATTTTATATGCGTGAGTTCATTCAATCCTCATACCTACGAGGCTGATGCTATTATAGTACCCCCTTCACGGATGGGCGACCCCAAGCACCAGGAGTCTATGTGACTTGCCCAAGGTCACACAGATCCAGGGGCCGTGCTTTTAAACCCTTTGCCTTAGTGCACGTAAACGGGAGTGAATGAACAAATGTCTCGGGCAGCCCCGGTGGTGCAGCGGTTTGGCGCCGCCTGCAGCCCGGGGTGCGATCCTGGAGACCCGGGATGGAGTCCCACGTCGGGCTCCCTGCATGGAGCCTGCTTCTCTCCCTCTCTTTCGCTCTCTCTGAATAAATAAATAAATAAATAAATAAATAAATAAATAAATAAATAAATCTTTAAAAAACAAACAAACAAAAAAACCCCAAATGTCTCCCTTCAGCATCAAAAAAACCCAAATGTCTCCCTTCAGCATCCGTTTGTAGCAGACCCTTCCCGCCCAGGACATCACTGAGTCACGGTCTCCACCTTCGGTCCCCGCCCCGGCGCAGGACTACCGTGCGCGCCCGCGGCCGCCAGGGGGCACTGTGGCCACAGGCCTCGCCCCTCCCCCCGGGGCCTGGGAGCGGGAGGGGGAGGAGCCAGCGCTGGGCGGGGCCGGCCGGAGCCCCGCCCCGCCCCGCCCCGCCCGGAGAGCTATCCCGGCGGGCTGCGCGCGCGGCGGCGTTTGAATGGCTCGGGCTGGAGCTCGGCCCGGGCCCCGAGGGACGCTCCGGGCTGCCGCGCGGTCGGGGCTGCCGGGCCGGGGGCGCCGCGGTACCATGAGGCGCGGTAAGCCGGGGCTGGGCCCCCTACGAGCCCGGAGCCCGCAGCTGCCCCGCCGAGGCCGGGACGCGCCCTGGGCCCGCCTGCAGGCCCCGCGGCGGCCTCTGCTCGGCGGAACGGGGCAGCCGGGCGGCGGGGGCGGGGCCGGGGGCCCGCGGGGGCAGCCGGGCGGCGGGGGCGGGGTCGCGGGGGCGGCGCCGGGGGGCAGCGGGGTCGGGGGTGCGGGGGCGGCGGGGGCGCCGGGGGCGGCGGGGGCGCCGGGGTCCGGGCCGGGAGAGGCGTGGACGCGACCCGCTGTCACCCGGCTACCTGCGGTGGGGCCGGCTCCCGGGGGGGGGCGGGGGGACGCTTCCGCGGCGACCTGCTCCGAGGCGGGTGTTCCCGGAGCCGCCTAGGCCGGGCCACGGTGTTTCCTTATTTTCTGACGGGTCCTCGCGTTCCTGGCAGATAAGCTTTTGTTTAGCAGGACCAAAAACTTGACATAACTGCACACGGACTGCCGATTGCAACTTTAAAAGCCGCATTGTATTTTCCGAGAAGTTGTGTTCTGTAACAGTTCCTAGGCTTTTACCAGGTTGGTTCTTAAATTGGCTTAAATATGGAGATAACAAAGAGTTCACTTGTTTCCTTGTAGCTTGTAAAGTTCCCTGGAAACAGAAGTGTCCGTGTCAGTTTCTTTACAGATGAGAAGAGAAAAATGACACATTCGTTGTGTGATCACAGTTTAGGACTCGCAAAAAATTCCGAGAAACTAGACCCTCTGATAGCTTAGACTTGTGTAGTTTATTCTGGTTTTTTGTTTGTTTCTTTGAACCTGCTTCAGACTTAGAACTTTATACGTTGAAGCTTGTACTTGGCTAATAGCTGTATTAATAACCACGGCAAATATTTATTTTGGACCTTCGATGTGCTAAGCGCTGTTTGAGAGCTTTGCTTTAGGATGGATGCTATTCTTATCCCCCCTTTTTTTTTTTTTGATTTTTTATTTATTTACTTAAGATAGAGAGAGAGAGAGAGAGAGAGGCAGAGACACAGGCAGAGGGAGAAGCAGGCCCCACGCAGGGAGCCCGACGTGGGATCCCGAGTCTCCAGGATCACGCCCTGGGCCAAAGGCAGGCGCTAAACCGCTGTGCCACCCAGGGATCCCCCCTTTCCCCCTTATTTAAAGAAGATTTTATCTTTTTCATGAGAGACACAGAAGGGAGGCAGAGACACAGGCAGAGGGAGAAGCAGGCTCCCTGCGGGGAACCGGATGTGAGACTAGCTCCCAGGACCCCGGCAGACGCTGACCCGCTGAGCCACCCAGGTACCCCTCTTACCCCCTCTTTGAGGAGGAGAAAATTAACACGCAGAGAAGCTGAGTCACTTGTACAAAGACACGCAGCTGATACATTTGGGATGCAAGCAGGCTGGCTTCATGCTTTTAACTATGCTTCTTTAACTGCCTCCTTTATGTGTGACTCTAGTCCACAAAGCCCTTCCATTTACTTCTCTCAACTGCGGATGAGATCTATGTGAAGGGCGTGTATATATACATTCACATACTATTCAAGTTTTCTGCTCTTGTTGACCATACTTTAGTTTTGTGCACTGAGCAGAAATTCTGTTGGATATTTTGAGATAAATGGAGTTCAAGTTCCTGTTTGTGTTGTAGTTTGTAGTTTTAATTCCTTTGCACCATTTCCTGAAAGTGTACAGAAAGTGTACAGGACACTTTGAAGCCTATATATTCCTTAAAATATACCATTCTATATTGTTTTTATTCTGAAACCATATTGAGCCGTCATTCTGTACTTGGAATGATTGTACTTACAGCTGCATGAGAAGAAATAAAGGTTCAGGGCAAAACCATTTCATAAGAAGTCAGCAGTTTACAGTGATTTATAGCAGAGTATTCATTTATTTTTTATTTTATTTTATTTATTTTATTTTTAAAGATTTTATTTCTTTATTCATGAGAGACACAGAGAGAGAGAGGCAGAGACACAGGCAGAGGGAGAAGCAGCCCCATGCAGGGAGCCCGACATGGGACCCGATCCCAGGTCTCCAGGATCACACCCCAGGCTGCAGGCATCACTAACCCACTGCGCCACCAGGGCTGCCCTATTTTTTATTTTTTAAAGATTTTATTTATTCATGAGAGACATACTGAGAGAGAGGCAGAGGCAGAGACACAGTCAGAGGGAAAAGCAGGCCCCCTGCAGGGAGCCGGATGCGGAAATCCGGAAATCCCAGGACTCCAGGATCAAGCCCTGGGCCAAAAGGCAGGCACCAGAACTCTGAGCCACACAGGCGTCCCTATAGCAGAGCATTTAAGTTTCATTCATCAGTTATCAAGCTTCTGCTTGTCTCTATGCCCAGCAGGGTTAGGTGCAGATTTATACAAAAGAAACGTGCCAGGGCGACGACCCTCGATTTGGGATGTGAGACTAACAACAGCAATGTAAAATCTGTTTAGTGCAGAGGGTGTATGATGAACTGAACTGGGCTGAGGGGTGATGCTTCTGCAAAGAGTCAACAACTAAAGGATAGATGCAGGGCATTGAAGAGAAGCGTGAATGAGGAATTTTAGTGAGGAAACTGTGTTCGAGAACTTGGAAGTGAGAATGAAATGACTTTTCTAGGGAACAGTGAAATTGATCTATTTGGGAAGTTCCTTTTGAGGAAAATGAGATTATGTGGGCAGGACCGAGAATAAGGAGAATTGTGTAAGACACATATAGCAAAGAAGTTTAGGTTTGACATATATGTATATACACAGATGATTTGGGAAGTTTTAAAACTTTTAAGTCAGTGACTGTCATCTGGGGACAATTTTTGTCCCTCAGGGGACCTTTGGCAGTGTCATAACTGGGATCGGGAGAGGAGCTACTAGTATCTAGTGAGTAGAAGCCGGGAATGCTGCTGCTGAACGTCTTGCAATAGGACCACCCCTCTGTAAGAAATAGTTAGACGACATATGGGGTCTATGTTTGAGAACATAGTGGTGGTGCTGAGTTTGAGAAACCATGTTGGGAGTTGATTGCTTATGTGGCCAGCCTCTACCACCATGTGCTGTATGTAAGTGTGAACGACGAATGTTAGGAGTGATGAATGTCAAGCAGCAATATACAGCTGGGAGAAGCTGACTCCGAGACCTCAAGAAGGAGGCTGTTGTTCGAGTCCTGGGAGCCGGGAGGCTGTAGGGAAAAGGATGAGGGTAATGAGAATGACAAGTAGTAGTAAAATGAGATGATTATTTAAATAACATTTTTTTCTGAGTTTGAAAATGTTATCTTCACTGAAAATAATTCATGTTCACTGTAGGAAATTTTGGAAATACAGAGATTGTGGGAAAAAAAATTAAAAGAACTTATAGCCCCCACCCTCACCCCCAAGCAGAAAGAACAGTGTTAACATTTTCATGTGGTGGTTTTTTTCAAATCTTTTTTTTATGCTGATAATTATTTTCCTTTCTATAAAACTAGGATTACACATTTTTCTCCCTGTGGGTTTTTATTATTTTGCCTTTTTTTTTTTTAGACTCAGCATGTTATGAGTATTTCCCATTCCTTGAAAAATGCTCTTTTTACGATCACAGTCTTTGTTTTGTGTGTTCTTTTGTAATTGGGAATTTCGCTTATATTCAAATGAGACATTTTGAAGGAAGAATAGAATATGATGACTGAATAACTATAGAAAACAACAGGGGTAAAAGTCTGTGGTATCTTCAAGGTTTTAAACCTTGGAAGCTAAAAGAATGGTAGAGCTACTGAAATAAATTGGAAGTCTCAATAATTTTTTTGAGGGGGAGGTTTCTCATAATAATTTTCATCTCTGTGCCCTCACAGAGACCTATAGTGAGATTTTAATGAGGACCCTTGCTACCTGTCAGCTTACATTCTTCCTAAAACTCTAAAATTAATATTTTTTTGGTTTCCTTTTTTTTCTTTTGTTACAAAGCTTATTTTTCAGTTCTTAGCAATTCTTCCTTTTTCTTCTTCTTCTTCTTTTTTTTTTTTTTAAGATTTATTTATTTATTCATGAGAGAGAGAGGCAGAGACACAGGCAAAGAGAGAAGCAGGCTCCTCGCAGGGAGCCTGATGTGGAACTCAATCCCTGGCCCAGAGGTCACGCCATGAGTGGAGGGCAGACACTCAACCACTGAGCCACCCAGGTGTCCCCCTTTTTCCTCTTCTTGAAAAGTTTTTGAAAATACGGTTACGGTTTCTATTACAATACTAAATAAGGCTCTGGTGGTTGTTCATGTATCTGAAAGATTAAAGGACTAGTTTGGGTTTTTCGAATGTATAGATTGGTACAGTTTATAAGCAAGAGATGATTATAACTTTTCTGTATGAAGAGGAATTATCTTTAATAATGCTTGCCTGGTGCCTTGTAACATCACAATATTATATAACATCACAATATAACATCACAATATTGCATTATCAATCATCATACTCATGACCTATATCAGTTAATTTGGTGCTTTCTGGAAAATGTATTTAGGAAAGTAATTAAAAAAAATAACCATAAACCTTTTGCAAATGGTACCTTTAGTGGAACATACACTTTCAACTTAGATAAGATACAGTTTGACTTTGCTGGATTCAAATGCTGTGTTAACTACCTCATGCTCATGTCCAAGTACCTTCTCTAATATGCATTAATTGTGGAGAAGTTTTTTATTTCCTGTCTTTGTTCTTGGGACATGATGAGGGTAGAGGTGGGAGAAGGAGTCTTCTGAAAGATACCCCAGTTTGCTTCTCCTATAACCACCTCTCTTTCAGTTTTACACATTGTTTGAATGGTGTGTGAAACTCTTTTTACCTTGAACAGTCATCCAGGAACTGCTCACCTATGTATGAATCATGAATGCCCTAACATCTCTTCTTCTCCCTAGTATAATCTTAAAACAGGCAATCTGGTGTTACATGGAAAGGCACTAACACTTGGTGTCACAGTTTTAGGCTTTCCTCTCCTCCTGGTGACTGAGTGTTTAATCTCATTTTGTAAATCGAAATTATCCCCAAGGTCCTTTCCAGCTCTAAAAGTCTGTGAATCTGTGACGTATTTGCTTTTCAAGGGTAATTACCTCTGGTGAGACTATTAGTTTTTCACCTCTTAGAGTGCATTAATCATGTGCTGTCTTCCAAAGGCATTTGTAAAAGCTACTCCCATGTAATTGGGGGAGAAATTTTAGAATGGAATTTAAGTGCCACTAGCATATAAACTCCAGGAGGGCAGGGATGGTTGTGTTGTTCACTCATGTTTTCTCACTGCCAAGAATGGTAATTAGCCTGTAACATGTAATTAATATTTGTTGAATGAAAGGAATGGTTTGTTGTTAAGGAAAGACAAGCTTGTTGGAGTACTGCACAGATGCTCTGAGTATCTGGAAAGAACTCAGAATACAAACCAACTCGATTACAACCCAGTCATTCCTAGAATATAAAAATACCTCCAAGTGATAGTAAAGCATCTGTTGTTCACTTGGTTGCCTTTCAAAACTCTTTAGTAATTACTGCCCTGATTGCCCCTCATACTGAGAGTACAGATTTGTCCATTATCAGATCTTACTTTAGTGCCACCTTGACTTTTGAGTGTGCCTTTTACTCTTATTTGCAAAACCTTAGGCCCTGTTTATTTCCTATGCCACTTAATACCATCATTAACAGTGTATTTGCTATTGTAGCCAAAGTAAATCATACAGATTGATTACAATTTGGCCTTTTATCTATGGAGGATTCGCGGCACAGCTGTGGGAAACTAGTACTCCTGGCATTCCTTTTCTGGTTATCCTATTTCTACAACTACCATGTAAAATAATCTTCAAGAATAGTTTTTTTTTTTTTTTAAGATTTTATTTATTTCTTCATGAGAGATACACACCCACAGAGAGAGAGAGAGAGAGAGAGAGAGAGAGGGAGGCACAGACACAGGCAGAGGGAGAAGCAGGCTCCATGCAGGGAGCCTGAAGTGGGAATTGATCCCCGGTCTCCAGGATCACACCCTGGGCTGAAGGCGGCGCTAAACTGCTGAGCCACCCGGGCTGCCCAAGAATAGTTTAAAAAAAATTTTTTTTTTAAGTTTACTTAAGTTATCTCTACACCCAGTGTAAGGCCCGAACTCAGGACCCTGAGATCAAGGTCCCGAGTCAGTCCTTTACTGACTGAGCCAGCCAGGCGCCCCAAGAATAGTTTTGAATCATATGATTCCTATACAAACCTTCTCAGTAACTGTATTTTGTCTATAAAATTAAAGTCCAGGTTCCTGACCTGGTATCCAGGACTTCTGCATTTTATCCAGTCTACTTTTCCTAGTCTATTTCCTCCATAATGACCTGAACTCAGTAACTATTTAATTATTGAGTAGTTGGTGTAGATAATAAAAGGCACATTTTTCTCACCTGTTTCCAGGTAAGGAAAGGCCAGTAGATATGCTTGCATAGGGCGGCATTCATTATTTGGGGAATATTTACTGAAAAATAGCATCAGGGACAAGAGTTCATGAACTCCACATAAACAATTTTTTCTCTTCTTGTTGGCAGACCTGTTTGGAAACGAAGTAATGATCAGAAGGAAATTACTTATGTGTACTTAATGGCATCGTTTGACTACTTAGTGAGCCCTACTATATTATTATGTGCCCACAACATTGTTTGGATGCTTTATCAGTCTGGATGGCCTGTTATTTTATAGTAACAACCCCCAAGTCTCAGCGGCTTCAAATAACAAAGGTCTATTTCTCCTTGATTCGTCCTACATGTGAGTTATCTGGGGGCTCTGCTCAATGTTATTCTTGCTGAGGAATGTGGGCAGATGGAACCTTAATCTCTGTCTTGTTGCTAGTTGCCACAATAGAGGGATGGTAATAGGAGTGAATCACACAAAGTGGCTCTCAAAGGCCTCTGTTTATATTTCATTGGCAAGAGTAAGTCACTGACCATACCTAACTTCAAGATGATGGGCAAGCATAACTCTATCATGTGTCTGAAAGGAGAATTGGAATATCATGGCATAGTTTTAATGTTTACCACAGTTAAGGCACTCTCCCACTGACAATTTTGAATATTTTGTGACTCCTCACTCCCAGCTGACCATTATCTTTCATGATTGACATAGTCTTTCTTTAGATAGGTTCCTTTGATCATCAGCTGTTTATTAAGTACTCACTATGTGCCAAGCACTATTTTAGATACAATGAGCATGATTCCTGCTGTCATGGAGCTCACAGTCTAGTGGGAGGACATGAACAATGAGCAAACAAGCTAATTTCAGATAGTGATAATTGCCGTGGTGGGGGAAAAAATACAAGGTACTTGTATAGAGAATGAAGGTGAGGTTGGGGTCATTCTTGATGGGGTGGTCAGGGAAATCCTCTTGGGTGAGTAACATTTGAGCTGAGAGGTAGTAGCCCTGAGAGTATATGGGAGGAATATTTTAAGCAAAAGGAATGGTTTGGCTGCAAGATGGAAATGAACCTGCCATGTTTAAGGACAGAAGACCAGTGTGGCTAGAGGAATTAGGAGGAAACTGATATAATCCAAGAGAGAAATGATGGTAGTTGGGTCTAGGATGGTGGTAACAAAAATTGAGAGAAATGAATAGTTTGGAAATATGTTGAAACCGCATAGTCAATGGGTTGGAGACGGAATTTATGAAAAGAGAAACTAAGAATGCATCCTTTGGGGCTTTCAGCAACTGGGAGGATAATGTTTCTATTTACTGAACTAGGAACAATTGTGAGGATCAGATTTGAGAGGGTGGATATTAAGGGTTCTGTTTTCAATATGTGAAGTTCAAGAATTGTTGACTGGAACTGACATCCACATGGAGCTACTCACAGGCAGTTGGAGATATGATGTGATTCCTGTGCTGGAGAAGGATGTTCCCTAAGAGAAGGGGACATTTTCAAATGTCAGCATACATTCTGATTTCAGCTCAGGGGACATAGTGATAACAAACCACTGAAATGGATGGGGATATGCAATGATCCTTGCAAATGTTGGTGTGTAGGAGAGTATAGGAAGGATTAGGAACCATTGTTACTGGGATGCTTAGGTGGCTCAGCAGTGGAGCATCTGCCTTTGGGCTCAGGGCATGATCCTGGAGACCCAGGATCAAGTCCCATGTTGGGCTCCCCGCAGGGAGCCTGCTTCTCCCTCTGCCTATGTGTCTGCCTCTCTCTCTGTGTCTCTCATGAATAAATAAATAAAATCTTAAGAAAAAAAAGAACCATTGTTATAAAAGGATGCTAGATTAAAAAGATAAAAATCGTTTTTTGCTGATTTGTTTAATTCTCAAAGGGCAATCTACCCTTTTAACTTTGAAGTTGTTAGGGTATATACTTCATCCTGTTGACTTCAAAGTTAGGCACAAGTGTTATAGATTGGTAACCTTAGTCCAGATCATGAAGATAGAACATTAAGATTAGTTTATATTAGCTTACCTTTTTTTTTTTTTGAGCTGTATATCTTATTGGAATATCCTTTTATACATAAAGTCTGTCTATATGGAATGCATCAGAAATACCTTTAGTAGGGATGCCTGAATGGCTCAGCGATTGAGCATCTGCCTTCGGCTCAGGGCATGATCCTGTGGTCCCAGGATCGAGCCCCACATCAGGCTCCCCATGGGGAGCCGACTTCTCCCTCTGCCTGTGTCTCTGCCTCTCTCTGTGTCTCTCATGAATTAATAAATAAAATCTTAAAAAACAAAACAAATACCTTTAGTAGCTAAACAAGGGGTCAGAAAGGATCTTTAAGGTGACGTTTTATATATGTATATGTTTATATACATTTCTGAGTTTAAGAAGACAATAAGAAAGGATTATTTTTCCTCATTATGAATATTTCCAGAAAAATGCTGGAATATTCTAACAGGGAGAATAAGAGATAGACACCAAAACATGATAAGATAATCATCACTTGGCTTTAGAAACCCTAAGTCTTCCTAAACATTCAAGTGTTTGGGATCCCTGGGTGGCGCAGCGGTTTGGCGCCTGCCTTTGGCCCAGGGCGCAATCCTGGAGACCCGGGATCGAATCCCACGTCGGGCTCCTGGTGCATGGAGCCTACTTCTCCCTCTGCCTGTGTCTCTGCCTCTCTCTCTCTCTCTCTCTGTGTGTGTGTGTGACTATCATAAATAAATAAAAATTAAAAAGCATTCAAGTGTTTATGTAGCTATTTAAGAAGAAACATATTAATACTGTCAATACATTTTACTATTTTTTTAAAAAATATTTTGTCATGTTTTTATTTAAATTTCAGTTAACATACAATTTAATATTAGTTACAAGTGTAAAATTTAGTGATTCATCACTGACATACAGCACCCAGTGCTCAGTCACAAATGCCCTCTTTGATACCCATCACCCATTTAACCCCCCCATCCAGCCCTCCCCCTCCCCTATTCATCTCCCCTCCAACAACCCTCAGCTTGTTCTCTATAGTTAAGAGTCTGTCATGGGAGGAAAATAAAGATTTTATTTTTAAGTAATGTCTGTCTTCAACTTGGGGCTCAAACTCACAACCCTAAGCTCAAGAGTCACACACTCTACCAACTGAGCCATCCAGGCACCCACTACCAATACATTTTAATTTAGTTAAAAAATAATACATGCATTTGATACAAAATTCAGAAAGTCCAAAAGGGAAAAGTCTCCCTTTCACCTCATCTCCCAGCCATACCACATATCCCCTTCTAGAAGTGACTTTTGTCTCCAGTTTCTTGTTTAACCTTTCAGAGATATTCAGTGAATATACAGGCAAGCCCTGCACACTTTCTAGTGTAAGGTATTAAAAAAATTAAGTCTGTAGGTCCACAATTACTGGTAAAGTGATGATAAGCAGCCACCTAGTTGTCAGAATTTAGCTAACTTCTTTTTCTCATTAATACCAGTTCTGTAATGTAGTATACTCTGGGGATTTAACTATTAAAAATAAGGAAGAGATGGTGGGAATGGTAATTCCCATATAACACCAATTTTTAAATTATCATTTCAGGGTAACTTAGCCATAAGAGAGTTAGAATTCAGTTTGGTCGGGCAGCCCCAGTGGCGCAGCGGTTTAGCGCCGCCTGCAGCCCGGGGTGTGATCCTGGGACCCAGGATCGAGTCCCGTGCTGGGCTCCCTGCATGGAGTCTGCTTCTTCCTCTGCCTGTGTCTCTGCCTCTCTCTCTGTGTCTCTATGAATGAATAAATAAAATCTTAAAAAAAAAAAAAAGAATTTGGTTTGGTCTAATTGAAATGATGTCTTATCTTGTACCCATTAAATCTCCAAAAATCTGTATTTTCATGCTTGATCTGCTTTCCTGAATTTGACATTATTTCTCAAACCAGCTTTCCATACATGGTGGACTGAATTAATAGAAGATGATGTGATGAATCATCAGCAAATAAAAAGCTCTTGTGGTTTATTCCAGGTACTAGGGGCTTTGAGTTGTTCTGAACATGGAATCAGAGTAAGGGTACTTAGTTTTATGATTTGAGTAATAATATCAGGTTCTTGGTAAATCCATTTCCTCAGGAGTAAACCTAGCAAGTGCAGTAGACATCCAGGTAACTTGATGGGACACCAGTTCCCTGGAGGGTGCATAAATAAGCACTGCTTATATTTGTTCCTTCATTTTCTTCTTCTCCATTGTTATTCGTCTCCTGCCAATCAATCCATGCCCCATGTAACTGAGACATTCTTTCAAAATGTTAATCCTCAATCAGATTTGAATCTAGAAAGGATTAAAAGGCTCCAAACAATTCAAAAGAATGTATCATTTTTCTGCCAATATACTAGCATTTCATATTGTTTCTAAACACATTAACATGCCATTCACTTTGTCACTTTTTGAGTACAAGTGTTTGCAGTCTTTGTAAACTGCCTCCCCTTTGTCCAAATATACCTAAGAAAGGAAATCATGGAATCATTTTTTAAATCTGGCTTGATAGTAAAGTATTTTTTAAAAGAATTTATTTATTCATGAGAAACAGAGAGAGGCAGAGACACAGACCGAGGGAGAAACAGGCTCCCTACAGGGAGCCCGATGTGGGACTCGATCCCAGGGCCCTGGGATCATGACCTGAGCCAAAGGCAGATAGATGTTCAACCACTGAGCCACCCAGGTGTCTCTAAAATATGTTTTTTTTTAGTCCTTGTGATAAGTTGTAACTGCTCTACACTAGGTCACATGATCTGCTCAGCCCAACATTTGTTTTGATCATCATTGTAATAATTATAAAAATAAATTTAACACATTGATTAAAATTTAGTGAAACCTTCATTGAGAACACTGGGTGAGTCCTACTGGACTAGAAGCTGTTGTTACTCTGTAAAATGACTCTTTAAATATCTTTGTTAAGCCACTTTCTTCTATATCATAATTTAACTCAAGGAGCAATTTTCCCCCCTAAACTATCTGATAAATCATTGGAGATATTGCCACACTTAACGTATTGTATTCCAATGGCTTCTCTTGTGTTTCTCCCACTATAAACGAGTTATTTTACAATGGAAAAGTTGGGAGATTTAAGGGTATGAGCAGAAATGAGGCAGGAAACTACTAGTTGCCATGATGTAGCTGTATATAACACCAGAATTCTACACTGAAGTGATTTAGGTCGCTATATTTTATAATTTTATAATTCTTTTGTGTTTCTCTATATAACTTAAGAATTTATGTGTTTCGAGGCATAAGAAACTTTATCATTTCCTGTTATGTATTATCTTATGCTAAAAAGAAACTTAATTCTTTTATTTAAAATGTAAATTTG